TCATTATTGTCCCTTTGAGCTAACTGGCTATGAATGGCATGTAACAAACAATGTGAGAAAATGTTGCCTTAACATAACTGTAACCAGTCAGTGCAGGGTGGTAAATATAGTCCATGTAAATAGAAAACAAATTCATTCATCCTCAACGACTGGAATAACTTCCAGAATGGCAGAAACACCAGAAATCTATTCAATATCAAAAATATAAACACACTCAACTAAATACCTGAGTTTCTCATCTGATGGCAAAATAATAATATAATACATAAGATTTTTGTTCACTTTTACAGACTGCTCTCTTGTTTTTGGCAAACAAGTAAGCAAACAGTTGTCTGCTTATACAGAAGGCAAACATGGAGCAACATTAGTTTCATTTTGCTAAATATATGCCTGTGATCAGAAGCTAGTCCCTAATTTTCCCAATAGACTCTTTATTCCTGCAGCACGTGGTTTCATTAGAGTTTGTTTGTTGAAACGAAAGCTGCCTGCTGTAACTGGAGTTGAAACCAAAACAGTGAAGCTGTAGGCCCCAAAGGTCAATGAGCAGAAATATATATTTAAATTCCAGTATATAAGAAAGAAATTACCTTCAGGAGTCGTCAGGAACAACAGATTGGACTTATAATTCTCTACTCAATTAACTGCACTGACTTCAAATGACTCGCACTCAATAGTTAATATAAAAATATTGATTAATGCAGTTTTAATTTCTGCTCTGTTTGTGAAAACTTGTGTGCAGCAGAAAAAGGCTGCATTGCTTTTCCTGCCTCAGCACGATCACTTTCAGGCTCAGTCAGGCAGAAAAATGTTTGAGTCCCACAAAAACATAACCCTCACCCCCCAGGCCATGTGTCTGTGGTATTCTCATCACTAGCTGGCCTCCATCTACCCTACACCTCTCATTCCCATCTAATGACATCCTCTTAGGACACCCCCCCTCCCCAAAACTCTCCCTACACATAAAAAGAGGTTTGCAAGGACCACCCCCTATTGCAGCCATACAGATTCCTGGCCTTCCCTTTCTGAATTGTTTCACCATGGGCTCTATTGTCCGAGCAAAGACAGAAAGTTGGGAGGAAGAAAGAGAGTGAAGAGAGGGGAAAATGTGCCCTCTCTATTCTTTGGGTTGGAGGCGTCCACCCACATCAGGGTGTGGAAATTCCGTTTCAGCTTCCTGCTTTCTCTCCAAGCCCTTTCCTTTTAGTCCCCTCACTCAGTCATCGCTGTCATGGGTTGTTTTTGGCTTTGTGGAACGTCGAGATTTTAATGCAAAGCGTTATCTGAGGATAACCCAGGAGCACTTTTACTCGTAGTAGGTATGAACATGTGGCAACATCATTCAAAGCTAAACAATCACAATAGAAAAACAACGCAGAGTTAAGCAAACTGAATACTTATAGGGAAACCTGTATTTTTCACACACGCACACACACACACACGCGCTGCAGGTAATGAGTCAATGAGTAATAAGGGTGAAACAAACATTAAAGTTATGGTCAACAGAACCAATGAGCTGAAAGATGCTAAAATTTTCTATAGGCCTGAGGGGACTGGTGTAATGATCATATTTGTTGCTACTTTTGTGGTGCAAGTTGTGTTACTTAATCCATGATTAATTATGCCAAGAAAGCCGTGTTAAACAATATGAACCTTTATTTCCCATTCCTTAATTTCCATCAGTCTCACTCTCCCACCCAGGCCTTTCCAGCTTTCAAGATTCTTGAAGACTGTGATTTGCATTCACGCCATGCCCAAAAGATGTTATGGTTACTGTTACGATGTAAGACACCTGTCCTTATTAACCAATTACATACCAAGAACCAAGGACATTTGATGGGATCAGTCTTCCTCACTGGTATGGAAACCATGTGAAATCTCCAACCATACAGTCACTGATTACAGATACCCAGCAAACACTGAGTACAGCAAAAAAAAAAAATCCATTTAAAGGTTTTTGCTTGTGTGTGTGTGTGTGTGTGTTTTCTTTTTTAAATCTGTAGACTATATTGTTAATTTATCTGCTGAAAAACTATAAAGTCAAAACATTAACAGGAAATCTTCCAAATACTTGATACTACCTAATACCTAGTGTGAGGCAGTTGCTAATGATAGTGAGTTACATGAAGCTAAACTTGACCCCTATCAGCAGCCATTACCTTTGAAAAGTAATCTCTCACTTTCCCCTCCTGTCCTGTCTTTCAGCCATTGTACGTTTGCCTAGCAGGCATACTGTGAGACAAGCTGCACCGAAACAGTTTGTGTTTGCTTATACTTTATATTACTTCACCACTTTAAAAACATACTCTGTTTATCTTCAGACAGGTTGTTAAGTGTTTGCTAACATTTGCTTTGTTGCAGTGCCTTCAAGTGTCCATAAAATCAGTTGTCATTAAATGTAAATTGAATTCTGGAATGGGTGCAACTGCATATGAATTCTAAAAGATTAAAAGTTGTGAACAGATGGCGCATGGAGCTATATGGCTCCAGGAGGAAAAGTAGTCTGGTTGATAATGACACTAAAATGGGAGAATTAAAAGTTCTGGAAACAGCCTGAATACAGACTGTATATAAAGAACTATGATAACAGCGACTACTGTTTTCAAGTATACAGTAAGCATCTTTGGTTGCTTCCATCTTGCACTTTTGAAACCAGATGGTGCATGAAAGAGTAGACCTGATTAGCTAATGCTAACACAAGCTAGATAGCTTAGCTAGCTGTCGCGTTAGTAGGAATTCAAGTTTTGGCTGGTAAAAATGAAACATACCCTGCTTAATGGGAAAACTGTAACCATGCAGAGAGCAAGCAAGGCTGAATCTGACTGACAAATCAGTAACACATAGCCTGCATTATTATCTATTTTACTTGTTACAAACTAAACATTTATCAACCCTTTAAGACCTACTATAGAACCAAGTCCGCCAGAGCTTATATTATATTTTTACATGTTGTTGTGCCATTTTTTGGAGCATTTCAAGTTGATATACATCAATACAACCATTATAGTCCAAATTCTAATAATATGTATGCATTAAGTGCATAATAATTACATAAATTGCAAAAAAGTGCAATAAACTACAAAACAATTGAAAATAGTTTTTGTTTTTTTAAACATATATTTCTAGAGGAATTTAAGAGGCTTAACCCTCAAAACTGTAAATACAAAAAAGTTGCACAAAATAGTTTCCCACCACAGGAAATTTATTTTAAGTGTCTTCATAGTTTTATTTTTGAAATACACCAATTTTTATATACTGCAGGAAAAACGAAAAATAAATATTATAATGCAAATTTGCAAAGAAAACAGCATATGCATCAAAATAAACTATTTCCAGCAGTGCAATATGAGTCCTAAGCATCCCAGAAACGACACAGAAAGTCATAAAGTCAAACATAACTTAAAAACTCAAAAGGCCATCAGGGCTCAAAAGGCCCTGATGGTAAAAAACTACATTTCCGCAAATTGACGTCACTTCCGGTTTCGGGCAGGTCATGGCGGACATGCGATAGTTCGTGCTGATGGACGTAGGAAGTGTTACAAACAGCTGCTCAGATCGGTAAAGCCTGTTTCTGGAATATTATCTTTTTGTTGCTTCAAGTGCATTTTATGCAGTTTTTGCAAAGCTATATGTGGAAGGAAACCGTGACCTAGGACAAGCTGATGGCATAAG